TTGGTGCTGTTGGTGCTGTTGGTGCTGTTGGTGCTGTTGGTGCTGCTGCTGCTGCTGCTGCTGCTGCTGCTGGTGCTGTTGCTGTTGCTGTTGCTGTTGGTTGTTGGTTGTTGGTTGTTGGTTGTTGGTTGTTGTTGTGGTTGTTGGTTGTTGGTTGTTGGTTGTTGGTTGTTGGTTGTTGTTGTTGTTGTTGTTGTGGTTGTTGTGGTTGTGGTTGTTGTTGTTGTTGCTTGCTTTAATTGTGTTAAGTGATCTTCTTCTTGTTTGGGGGGAGGGTTGGTAGATAATGGCTTGGCAAAATCAGGCAGGCTATCGAAACATCTGGTTTGATGCTTTTGCAGTGGTAATACTTCGTCCGAGTTTCATCTCGCTTGGCTGGTAAGAGCCTCCCCAGGACCATCGATTCTGATCTGCAAGCTGAAAGCCGACAAACAAAACAATGCGATACAGGAAATGCTGGAAAACAGGTCTCACTTTACTTTACCAAATGACTAGTCACTAGTCCCTACTTTGGATTCACAGTGGTTTCGAGTTTTGGGGGTGAACATTCCTTCCTCTGTACCACAGCCTCCTCTGTGGTTTCATTGAGTGCATTGATGTCAACAAGTCGCCTCGGCCGGGCACCTTCTTTTTGAAGCAATGACAATTGCTCCTGGCGGCAACAAACTAGCTCCGGCTCCAAAGAAATGCGAGCCAGGAGGAGGAACGTAAAGATTATTTAAAGATGTACTTGCAGAAGCCAAAGGAGAAAAACACAACAGGGTCCGCGCTTTTCTCATCTTTTCTCTGGATCCATCTGCTGAAAGCACGCCGACCTGCTGCTTGAACAGGCCTTGAGACGATCTGGCGGCACGACGAGAGGCTTTTTGAATCCTTTGTTTGCCTGCTCATGCATGTGCACATCATTGTCATCATTTTCCCTTGCACAAAGTCACACGCCTGCCACCTACTCAAGTCAAACTCACCATAATTTGCGTGAGAATCCACATCCCAAACAACACAAAAAGCCACCTTCTCCATCACCAAAAACCCATCCACCCCCCACTTGACCACCTCCAACCTCCGGTCTCTCCACATCCACCGAAGGCCCCGTCCTCCGCACCGAAGGCCCCGTCCGAGGCCACCACACGGTGCCACCCGGCCGCGCGGGACTGGCAGAGTCGCTTCAGCTCGAAGCCCAGCCGGGCGCGGACGCCTCCGCTGGGAAGGGCCGAGGGAGGGCGAGGTAGACGAGCGAGGGAGGAGTAACAGGTAGACGAGCGAGCGGCTCAGCCCGGACTTGATCAGATTTGGAGATGGATCTTATTATAAGATGAAGCATACAATATGATATGGATCTTGTTCATATGATAATTAATATATCAGATTTCGAGCATGCGTCCAAATTGATGAGTCATGAAGTTACTGACGTGACGAAAGACCTTGATCTCATGGCGGCACCCGACCTGCCTGCCACTCAGTGCTGAGACAATGATATGATATGATGCGTGGGATTTGGACGCACAAATTAGATTAAAGGATCGGAGGAATTGTGGCAGTGACTGTGACCAATTCCGCCCAGCTCTCGACCATGTTGGCGGGTCTTGTGCAAGTCTTGTTGAAAGCGAACTAGGGGGAATTCAACGCGGCCATGTTGGCAGTAGAACTCCTGTTGTACCTTCAAAAACACCAGAACACCCAGCAAATCCCAACCTCCGTTCAGGTCGCCGCCCCGAACCCTGAATCGGTGCCTGTGTCGATGCCTTCATCTCCTCTGCCCAGGTGTTGCAAGGCTTTCCGAAAGACCTGGCACTGAGGCGCACGCACCATGGACCAAGACCTGCATGGTTCATGGATGTTCATGGAGGATTCTGTGCATCACATTGGAATCATCACAAGACTCCAAGACTCCAAACGGACTCCCCGACTCCAAATATTGCAGCATTCTGAAAACACCCGCAGGCCTCATCCGTGGTTTTCCACCCATGGCTTTCCACCCAGATGTGCCCCATCCTAAAGTGACTCACCTCCATCTTTGAGCGGGTCTGGCCCCTGGGAATCTCCTCCATGGCAGCTGCCACCGCATCGCCCGCTGCGGTAGCGCCCTGGCGCCTTGCAGGAGGTGCCCTGCTGTGCCCCGAAACAAAGTGGATTCCACAACACTTGATTTTTGAACCAAAAACATGGAAAAACGATGAAAGCAACTTTGGGACCACCACTTGGGACCACTGGTGCTACCCTGAAAAGCCGGACTTGGGACCAATAGGACTCGATAGGACTTGTGAATTATTGAAGCCAAGCCAAGACCGTCCAGGAGAGTGGTCTTTGAGCATGGTCTTTTCGCGTGCGGTGAATAACATGGGGCCTCCTACTGTCATGGGTTTTGTCATGCCAAAAACCACCGGACAAATCCTCCACATCTCGTCGCTGAAGTCCTCTTCACAAGCCATCCAACAGCTGGATTCCTTTTGATTCCTTTCCCCAAGGAGACCCCGTGGCTATCTCCAAACCGCCTAGTTTAGGTGCCTAAACTTGGGACCAACCTCACCCTCTTAGGGTAAACCTGCAGCCCCCAGTCGTTCGCGCCTCTGAGTGGCCGCCGGGCGTTTCATGGCGCCGATGGGGGGCCAGGTGGGCTAGCTAGTCTAGGTCTAGTCTGGATGCGTATGGGCTCGTATGGCTGTGGTGCTCAGTTGATAGAATCGCAAGTCCTTCTTGAAAAGGACAACTGTCTGGGAAAGCTGCACCATCTATAATGGCTTGGAGTAGATATGAATTCCCCGCCGTGTAGTGATTCACAACCCCAAAAACAGGAAAGAATCACATAGAATCACTATATACTGCAGCGGTCCATTTCGAATGAGCAGCCATTAGCAGAGCAAAATTGCTCTGATTGCAGTCAAGTCTGCAAGTGGCAGCTGCAAGTGGCAGCCATGCCTTCCAACTCTTGAGTCAGAATGTGAATGATTTGAAGATCCTTGACAGCCTTGACAAATTCACAGTACATTGTATACAATCAATTTACCATAATAACCCCCCTGCCCATCTGGCCGGCCCGGGCCGCCCCTGTCACTTTATCCTGTCGCTTCTTGTTGTCACCAGGCTCCCACACCAGGGCCTTGAAATTCGCCCAGCACCTGCGCGGTGTATGGCACGTGGCGGGCAGTGTGGCCAACGGTGGCACGGCGGGCATGACTCGTTCCGGAGTCGTCTCACAAAAACGCCCAACGGCAACTTCCCCTAGGTGAATGTGTGCATGTGTGTGTGTATGCCTTTTGTTTTTTCTCGTAGATCGGTGCCAAAGCAGTTCACGCTTTGAGCAACACACACAGAAGGAGTTTTAGGGTTGGACGGGGAACCAACTAAAAAGGGAATTGTTATTTTTGCAGGTCAATGACCTTCCACAGCAGAATGCCTATACTACGACCACTACGTAGGAAAAAACACATTACAGTGAGTACAGTAACAACCAATTCAAAACAACATATCAAATTTGCCTGGTTCTGACTTGCAAAAATTCTGGACATCTGCTGCGCAGCTGAGTCAATCGTGGATATATATGCTCAGAACTCCTCCCTTGTGCGCACCTCAAACGTTCCTGGTCCAGGTCAACGCACAGGAGTCGATGTGCTCCTTCTCGCAGCTCCCGGTCCTCAGTATTTCACCGCGTTCGCGAATTGCATAGCTGGCAGCAAGCGACCCAGTCGCGAGATGGAGGAACGTCCAACAGAAATAAACCTGGTCATTCAGAATAAACCAAACATTGAGATCAAGGCGTGAGTGACAGCAAACCAGCTGACATGTTGAAATTGGTATGTATAAAAACACAAGTCACCAAACATCACCAAACCATGCCGTTTTTTTTTGTCTAGGATCGGAACTTGCCAAGCAGAAGCAAACAAACACCAAAACCATGCTGGCTGACCTAGATTGGTGCTCCTGTTCGATTGCCGTATATGTTTGTGGCCGTGAAACGTATTATAGCGTCCTTTACTTGGACCTGGAGAACGTGCAAAACATAGTACCAAAAATGGTCGAAAATGTTCACGCAAAAAAGTGTTGAACAGTGCTCACGGAAATGGTTGAACCGTTCGGAACCGGAACCTGTACCTATAGATAAATGTTTAGACTGTAATTAATCGTTTGTCAGGTCAGTCGACACTGGTTATTGCAAATTCGGTAATGGTGCATGTCCCTCCCCCCAAAAAACTTACTGTAAACACATCTTGAGATTGGCGGCTTTGAAAACATTATACAATTTGAAAACATTCGAGCCGCCACCAACAGATATCAGGGAACCCCAAAACAGTAGATCCGCTGTTGGCCCCCTGAGCATCAGGCCCAGCATTGGGAGCAAAACCGGGCTTTGCAACCTGTTTTTTGGTTGGTTGCGACAGTCAACGGTTGTTATGGGGTAAGCTCTGCGAACCACGGAAGTCGCTGGTGCCCCCCCCCGTATTGCGATGGGTGACAACACCGCAACATCGTATAGTAGGATGCGAACGGATGGAAAGTGTGCCCTGGCCCCGTTCTAGCCCTTAGTTCAACATGAAGCACGCGCGCTAAAGCTCCTTTTTCCCTGGTTGGGCACTTGAGCCAAAATTATATGGCATGTACCTGTATAGCAACTATACCGAGACCTCATCCCTATTGACACCCCCCACATCCGTGCTTCGACGGGGAAGGGAGATGAGTGGATGTAAAAACCGGAGAACGAGTCATGTTCTCAAAAGTGCATTGGAGGTCAACCAGTATGTCCTATTAAACTGAATTAGCAAACGATCTTGCATTCGCTTGAAAGTTGGGATCAAACAGGTAATGGAGCTACAAACGGAAAACGTGCATCCACCTGTGGTATCATGCGATTACCAACGGTGTGAAACACAATCCTATCTCACTCCCATGATGCCAAAACGGTCATCATGAATTACCCAAGATCCCTCAGTACTTGAAGTACCGGAAGTAGTATGTCGGCGTGACCCCAATGCTCAACCATTCGTGAGTTGTCGCATGTAGTCAGCTCCGACAAAGCCAATGTAGTCCTTGATGAGCTCAACGTTCCTTGGGTTTCCCCTTCGGATTTGCTCCTCAAAGAACTTCAATTTCTGTGCTTGAACATCGGATACCTCTATGCCATAGTAGCGGCATGCAACGAGGATCTCCTTTGTGACATTCTTCCGCTCCGATTTGATGGCGGGGCTAATGTCGATGAATTTGTATGGAGCGGCACTTTCGTCATCTGGTTTCTGGTAGTAACTATACCGGCTCGCTCCAAAGGTCTTCCTGATCAAGCGTCTGATGAAATTTGAGATGAATGCCAGCTTCTCGATGATCTCTTCCTGGGTCTCAGATCTTCGAGCCTTTGGATCACTCATGTTACGCCGAGTGCTGCCGACCTCTCTGAGGTACTTGTGGCTAAGCCCACAGCGGATTGCAGTGATCATCATCGGGTGAATAACGTGGGCGTGGAATTCATAGATCTGCCACGCTTCTGTTGCATACGTGTCGTTGGTCCATTTGCTCATGCTTACGACCTCGGCTCTCTGAAGGCGTCTTGGAAACCCAGTATCCGGATCATTCGGTACTATTGGCCATCTATTGTATGGAGTATCATGCCGCTGTCCATCGTCGAACTTTCGCAGTACGTCTTCACGACTCTCAAAGCAATTGATGTCGAACGTTGCGTTGGCCAAGCTCTTGATCAACTTCATCAACCTCAGATCAAATTGCTGAGTGACTGCAAAGTTGTGGTCGATGGGGATCGCAGCTTCTTGCGGCAATTCGTCAATTGCGAAGGGGAAAGGCTGTGGAAGTTCATTCCCGTATCCATCTTGAGGGACCTCCCGATATTCGGGTTCGCCTTCAGCTTCGTCCGGTCGTTCCTTCAAAATGATAGGAACTTCCTCGTCTTCCTCTCCTTCGGATTCCTCGACGTCAATGACTTCTTCGGCTGTCTTGCGCGCATTCTTGATGACTTCATCGATGTTTGCACCCGCAGCAGAAGTTGCTTCACCGGAAGAACTGGCTGGGGCATCTCTCGGAGGTGATCGTTGATTGCGGTCCCTTGTCTCCTTGGGTACCACATGCGTGAGCTTCCCATTCGCGATCAAAACCGCTACGCAGTGCGGACATATCGTCAATCGCACATCGACTTCGCCAAGACAGTTAGGACACGGTCTTGAGTCGTAGTCTTTCATTGCTCGGCGGTATACGATCTCCTCAAAGATTTCCTGCCATTCAGTGCTATCATATTCTGGGTAGACACCACTCTCCTCGACCATGCCCAGCAGCTTTGAGATTTTGGCGTCATCCTCGGAGTAGGTATCATCCTGGACCTCAACCGCTAAGCTCTCAAGCTTTTGATAGCGTGGAGTCATGATCGGGTTTCCGTATTTGGACTCCAGAACAAGGTAGCTTCCAGGGTCGGGTTCTCTATTGAGTAACCTGATCCATTCGATCTCCTCAGGCTGTCCGGGTTCTGCATTGTCGCATTGCAACCATGCCCCTTTAACCTCATCGAAGGGAACGACGTCCTCAACCAATAGAGATCCAGTCGCTGAGATGAGAAGCCCGTACTCCTGCAGCTTCCACACCGGAATGTAGAGAACCACTGGGCGATCGCTCAATGCGACCTTACGACCCAGCCAAGGTTTTCCCTTGTAGCCCTGCTCCCAGGCCCATGGCGGAAAACATGTGAAGTGGATAGAATCCCTTCCCGATGAACCGAGACCTCCTGGCACTAGCCCCCGTCGCATGATTGAAGTCAGCGCTCCAAGATTGGTAGCGTGAAATGCAGTCACCATGGATAAGGCCATGTCGTTGGTCATTCTCGATCCAATGTGGTCGATGTTGATGGTAACGTCATAACCTCCACCGTCCGATGAGTGTGCTGAGGTTGCTCTTACAGCCACGGGAAAGCACCATCCATCGCTATGGTGGAGTCTTCCTTTGGAGATTCCCATGCCCTTGAGTTCGTCAATCCATTCCTTCTCCATCGGGTCATCAGGATCATTGAGTTCATCAGGGTGAACGCGGACCGCCAACATTTGGAATCTGATCCTCTTGGTTATGCGGAAACACTTAGTTCTGGTCGAGGTACTTCTCCAAACGCGCCTTCTTGGTCACGATGTCAATGTTGCCATAGTGATAACCGTCTTCCCAAACTGCGTTATCACCTAACAGGTCTTCCCATGACACCCATGCGCCTTCGTCGCATTTGATTGGTGTGAGTCTTCCTCCTGTCCTGAACTGGCGTCCAATTCGATGCCTCAACTTCGCTCCCAATCGACGACTCAGGGCCTGGCTCGCTTGGCTGCATTCAGGTACTCGACAGTCTGGAGTCGGATACTTGTGGTTGCCGTAGTCGGAGTTCTGTGCAGCGAAAGTGACTCCGTTGATCGGTACTAGCTCAACTTTCCCGATCATCGTCATGGGGTCGATCGGCTTGTATCCCTTCTCCCTCCGTGTCGGTAGGGGATAGAATTGATGACATGCCTTTGGTTTGAGGGAACTGGAGTGCACAAATGCCTTCTCTACAAATTCGTACACCACCCTCATATCCCTAGGGCCTACTTCCGCAAGCTTTCGCCCATTGTAGGAATGTGTCCCTCCTTCGACTCCATCGGCACTTTCAATCAAGGTG